CATACACACACACACACACACACACACACACACTACTTTATATACATTTCTTCCTAGTTTTTGGTTGGTTCGGTGTCATGGTTACAATGGAACAGAATTCCTAATTGGTTGTATAAAAATATTTTGTTACACATCCACAAATTAATTATCATTTTGTTCTTTACACTGACAATGCTAAACATTTACTTTGTATATCTACGCAAATAAAAATGGTGTAGAAACCATTTTCACAAACAATTACAATGAATTGTGTAATCTTGAAGTAGAAAAGTAGAAGCAGAAAAACTGAAATGGTATTTTCTAGTAAAAATAGACTAGACCGATAATTTTTTACTTACCACTTCAGAAAAATATTTTTTTACAGTGTATGTGGAGTACAAATACTAATTTAGTTTGTATATAGCATACATTACCATTTAATAGTGTTTTAAGAAATTAATTTTACTGAGCAAGGATGCATGAAATGGACACTAACAACATTTATGTTACAAAAAAATCAATTTCAAATAAATGCTGTTCTTTTTAACTTTCTGTTCATCAAAGAAACGTGAAAAATATATTACATTTTCCACAAAAATATTTAGCAGCACAACTGTTTTCAACACGGATCATAATCAGAAATGTTTCTTGAGCAGTAAATCAGCATCATCATGTGACACTGAAGACTGGAGTAATGACTGCTGAAAATTCAGTTTTGTATCACAGGAATAAATTACATTTACAAATATATTAAAATAGAAAGCATCTTTTTTTATATTGTAATAATATTGCACAGTGTTACTGTTTTTACTGTATTTTTGATCAATTAAATGCAGCCTTGATGAGCATAAGAGACTTCTTTCAAAAACTTACCGTCCCTAAACTTCTGAACAGTATATACAGTACAGTAAGTATAAAGAAAAGTTGGAAAATATTTAAGTGCATATTGAATTGATCACAAGGCTTTGACCTTGTATGTAATGTTAGACTGACCTGAACACTTCATCTCCCCAGCCTGCAATGTAAGAGAAGAGTCTCGGGCCGAAGTCTCGAGCCGGGTTGATTGCATATCCGCTGTTAGATCCCATGGAGATGCCGATCACCAGGACAGCTGCTCCTACCAGGACAGGCTCCAGACCAGGAGGAGCTGGTGTGTTATGAGGGTCTCCCAATGCAAGAACACACACTAGCAGAGCAGCTGTGCCAATTATCTGCAGGACAAGCTCAAGTTAATACTGGGACTCTCACAGTTCACTTCAGATTGAACTCAAGTGACAAAACACTTCTTTTTAAAGTTTTGTTCTTTTTAAAGCCATTTATCAACATCATATTGTTATATGATGTTGATATTGTTTCTATCATACGAAAATCCAAATCTGCAACTTGTCAATTAGATCCGATTCCAACTTACATGGTAAAACCTGGCTTAGCGTGTTTTTCTTCTTTAATCACTGATATTGCCTCACTTCTTTCTGGTATTGTTCCTCCTGTATTAAAAACTGCTGTAATAACACCTATTCTCAAGAAACCAGGGGCTGATTCAAATAATCTTGAGAATTTTCGTCCTTTTTCTAATTTACCGTTTTTATCAAAAATTCTCGAAAGGATTGTTGCATCTCAGCTCCGGGATCATCTCTCCTTTAATAGTTTATATGAGCAGTTTCAATCAGGGTTTCATCCGTATAGTGTCGAGAATGCACTTGTGAAGATTTCTAATGATTTATTAGTAGCTGCAGACTCAGGTCTTTTATCAATACTCATTCTTAGTGCAGCATTCGATACACCCCATACTGTTAAGTAGATTGGAGTCCATTGGAATTACAGGTAAAGCTTTGTGTTCGTTCCGAACTTACGGACCATACTCAATTTGTACAACTTAAGCACTTTAAATCAAATCCTACACCTGTTACCACTGGTGTCCCGCAGGGCTCTGCTCTGGGACCTCTTTTGTTTATCATTTATCTTTTACCAATTGGTTTTATTTTTAGGAAATATGGGGTTCAATTCCATTGTTACGCTGATAACACCCATCTTTATCTGTCTTCTAAATCTACCACTGTTTTTCCTCCGTCTTCTCTTGTTCAGTGTTTGGATGAAATAAAAACCTGGTTTTCATGTAATTTTCTCAAACTTAACAGTGATAAAACAGAAATACTTCTTGTCGGATCAAAAAATACTCTGGCCAAATCAAGTTGTCTGTCTATGACAATTGACAATTCACTAGTTTCTATATCTAAACAGGTTAAAAGTCTGGGTGTCATCTTGGACAGCACTTTATCATTTAAGCTCATATTAATAATGTTATTCGTTCTGCATTTTTCCATATACGAAGTATTAGTCGTCTCCATCCTGTGCTCTCAACAAAGAGTACTGCTATTCTTGTACACGGTATAGTAACATCACGAATTGACTACTGTAATTCCTTGTTTTATGGACTCCCATCTAAATCTATACACAAATTTCACTTAGTGCATAATGCGGCTGCACAAGTTATTTCCAAAACTCCTATATCTGAGCACATCTCTCCTGTCCTACAAAATCTGCATTGGCTCCCTGTTAAATATTGTATACATTTTAAGGTCTTGCTTTTAACTTACAAGACACTTAATAATTTAGCTCCCTCATATTTATCCGATCTCCTTTGTATAAATACTATTACATGCATCTTACGATCTGCCTCTGCTTTCACTCTTGTACTTCCACGCATTCGGACAACTTCTATGGGGTCACGAGCTTTTGGTTATGCTGCTCCGTATTTATGGAATTCTCTACTGATGGATATTCATAATAGTTAAAGTCTTGTGGTTTTTAAATCTAGACTTAAAACTTATCTATTTAGGCAGGCTTTTATGTAATGTTTAGATGCAGGTACACTGTGCTGCCTTTTGTTTGATTACTGGTTGTTTATTGATGTACGGTGTCCTTGAGTGTCGTGAAAGGCGCCTATAAATAAAATGTATAATAATAATAATAATAATAATATGACTTTGACAGAGAGTGAACTGAGCGAATCCATTTAAGGCACAAACTAAAAATACACTTTACAAACTATATATACAACAGGTGTGATTAGTTTGTAGTTTTGTTTTTCCATCGCTAGTAGGTAGC